GCCCCTGCCCCTTGCGGGTCCGGCCCGCTTCGCCTCCGGGCCCTGGCAGGTGCCGCTTCGCCGTGACCCGGCGGGGAAGGGGAGCGGGCGGCCGCGGGCCGAGCGTGCCGTGACAGCCCTGCCGCCGCCGCCGCCGTCGTGCAGAGCCCTCCTCCCGGCCGTGCCCGCTTGGCAGGAGTCCGGGGGAAGGGAGGCTGTCCTCCCCCCGCTTTCCCAGCTCATCCCCGTCACCTTCCTTACGGCAGCCTCACGGCTGAGCTTTGGTTCCCCTCTCCGAAAGAGGGAGGCGGGAGCGCCCGGGCGAATCGGGCTTCCCTGGGTGATTCCGTGCTAGGAGGCGTCAGCCCAGCAGGCTGCGGGCGGCTGCGGGTGCTGAACAGAGACCCCGTCTCTCCAAAATGACCCCTCTGGGGCCGGCTGCCAGTGTTTCCCGGTGCGGGTCACTGGCCGGGTGGGGCGGCCGCAAGCGTGGCACCTGTCAGGGGGAAGCGGTGCGTTCCGGCTGTCGTTTTCAGAGGCAAACTGGGGAGGGGGGGCTGGGTGAAACTGAAGGGGCCTTGCGATCCGGCAGCAGGCACCCACCGTACCGCAGACTGCTGCTGGCAGCGGCTTGCTGTCAAACTGGGAGCGGACGCGCCGAGACGCTGCAAAGGTTTGCTTGGGCTTCGGTATGGGCAGCGTTTCCATTAGTGACTTGGATGTACTTGTGTCACAGCGTCAGAGCATCCTGTGCTGCAAGGGCTTGTCTGAACACAAGGAGGGTTTGAGCTGTGGAAGTTAATCCAGTAAAACCAAGTACCACAGGCTATGCTCAAAGAGCTCGCTGTCCCGGTGCAGCGAAGTGCCTGTGTGCACAATGCAGGAGGTGGGGTGGTCTTGTCTGCACAGGGTTTCGGATGCCATGCGCTGGAAAGGTGCCACCGCTTGGGAGAAACCTCAGGAGGCATTTGGAGAGCGTGACCTGTAAGGGACAGCCAGAGGGACTGGATTCCTTTTAGAGAAGAGAAAGGGAAGCTTTCACATCTGTTAACGCCTGCACGTATCTCTCAGGTCTGTCTTGGTACAAGAGGATGTTCAGCCTTTCCTACCTTCCTCCCTGTAGATATGAAGTAAGGGAGCCTTAGCGGAGATACTGGAGAAGCAGCTCCTCAACAGCAGGTCTAGTGGCACAGGGGCAGGTTTTGTGAGGAGTCAGCTCAGCCTCCTCCAGGGCAGAGGGGAAGATGTCAGAGCAAGTGGTGCAGCTCATCTGACCTGGATCTTCAGGTACACTTGATTGTCACTGAGAGGGGGTGGGGGTACACGTTAGCTGTCCTCTTGAGCTGCCTTTTAGCCCTCAGGATTTAAGAAATACTTTAGTAATTGCTCCATAATGTTCTAAAGCCTGGCTTTGGCTGGCAGCCTTGCCTGGCACCCTTCATATAACTTGATCTTCTAAACAAATCCCCAAATGTTGCAACTAAGTGCATGAAGCAAGGCTGGCTGTCCTCTTGCCTTGCCCTGCGGAGCCCATGATCAGCACAGTAAGCTGAAAGCTGCAAAATAAGCCTGGGAGGGGGTAAGAACCCCAGCCCATCTCGGCTGCTGGAAACTGGGTAAGGACTGAAGAGTCCCATGTAGCTTGTGGTGGCTTTGTTGTTTGTCCCAAGGGGTGTGTAGGTGTCCATGGCTTGGCGCTGTATGGCCAGTTCTTCTGCTTTGCCTTCTCTGAGCTGGGTAAGATTGGGGATGACAGCCCATCTCCAGCTGCAGAGTGGCACTGAGGCAGCTGGGATTGCCCTTCCCTCCGGATGGCCGGGCAGGCGCCGGAGCTCTCAGAGTGGTGCCGCTGGTTAGGGCCACAACAAGCAGACCTCCTCGCTGCGCTGTGCTGCAGCTGACATGGTGGCTTGCCTCGTGAATCATAAGTGAATGCTGTCGAGAGCTGAGCTTTTTGCAGACGCCATGGCATTAGCCCCATGTCTTGGCCAAGCTCCAGCTTGGGCAATTCCGCTCAGACACTTTAAATGCTCCTGTCGCCTTTGCCAGGCGCGAGGCTCTGCTCTTCTGCCCGCGAGCTCTTAGAGACTTGTTGGGAGCTGTTAAACAGCTGCTACTTTCACTCTCCGGCTGTTTTCTTGCTGGATGTAGGGGATTTGTCTGTAGAGCCTGACTGTGGGACTGTGAAAGAGGCTCTGTTAGCGCCAAGCCATTGATTTCCCAATAAAGGTTGGCTTTATTTTTCCCGTCAGCCCCTCTACTATGCTGGCTGTTGAGGGCTTGTGTGGGACACACCGTAACTAGTATCAGTTTTGGAGTATAACAATTACAAGTTTAACTAGAGTGATGGTTCATAAGGATATGGCTATAATTAGGTCAAGCTGTCTTGTTTGTTAAATTCCCCTTCAGCTCCCAAACTTGGCAGTGGGAATGAAGTTTGGGCCTTTTTTAGGATTGCTGTCAGTCTCCCCTGGCAAAGAGCACTGGGAAACGGCGCCTTTGCTCCTCTCCTTGCTGCCAGAGCCTGTGGGCATGGGCACACAGCCGTCCTCTGTCTCTCGCAGGGGTTGCTGAGCTGTCATGGGGAACACCACCAGTGAGCGAGTGTCTGGGGAGCGCCATGGCTCCAAGTCCCACCGCTCGGACGGCTCCGGTGCCCCCCACCCCACCAAGGAGCACCCGCACAAGATCATGGTGGGCAGCACCGACGACCCCAGTGTTTTCAGCTCCCATGACTCCAAGGTAGGGGCTGGCCGCTGCCTTCCCT